CATCAACTGCTTGCATGCGTTCAAGCACCACTAAAACCCTGAACCCTAAACCCCTAAACCCTTTTTTGCATCAGGACTTGTGCAAACCCCTTTTTTGAACCCAGACTCTGCCAATCAGCTGGGAAGCAGCACTTCCAGGTTTGCACAAACCCTAAACCCCTAAAGCCCTAGAGCCCTAAACCACTAAAACCCTGAACCCTAAACCCCTAAACCCTAAACCCCTAAAGCCCTAGAGCCCTAAACCACTCTAAAGCCCTGAACCCTAAGCCCTGAACTCTAAACCGATATGCTATGCCCCACCATTCTCAAGTCTGCCTTCCAAAGAACCTGCACTACACTAACTTAGAAGCCTTCATAATTGGAATGGGGTTTTGAGGTATACTATACTATAGCTATGGTAAGGGACCCCCCCAAAAAAATGTAGGGAATTATTTAGGCCCCTATATTACTCTAGACGAAACTTGGGCAGGCACTTGAAAGCGTAGCTTCCTTGGGGATATAGTTGGGCCCCTGATACTTGTAAAGACAGGGTGTTGAGCTGTCTCCTACCATACCCGAGCTGTAACTGTGCAAAATCGTCTCGGGTCTTCCTGCTACTTGTTGCTCTGCAGTCCGAAACCCTAAATCTTGACAGCTATGATCTACCGGAGCTCGAGAGGGACGTCGGCGCATTGCAGAGCCTGGGTTCCTTGACTGACATATAACTTCTAACGCCTAAGCCCGACCGTATAGCATGTAACCGTACGGGCCTCAGCCAAGGCCAGCGTGATGAATAAACATATGGGCCATGGTAAAAATCATGTGCTTGGTGACCACTTGTATTATAAGTTGTTGTGTCGGGGTAACATATGCTTTATGTACATCGGGCATGCGCAAGGCATTATGGTTCGTGCTCCAGATCACGAGTTCGATCGAAACTATGAACTTTGGGTTTGGAAGCTGCTAACCTGTGACCCGTAAACCGTCAATAATTAACCCGAAGCAACGAGTGCGCCAACTCCGCTTATACTTGTTGATTATTTTGCGATGTGCAATGCTCCCTTGACATATAGCGTTCTTATAAAACTATAAGTGGCCATTTTAACTTCTACAGCCGTTCTAGAAAGTGGTATCATATGATGCCCATCTACGAATCCTTGTAACACCGCTGCAGAACCCTCTTAGGCGATTCGGTCCACGGCCTCAGGGCCCGGTAGTGCTTCGGGGAGCACCGGGACGAAGTGCCCAGAGTGGACGGGCCGAGACTCAGTAGAAACCACCTGACAACCCCGTTTCGACTCTCACTTCGCACGCAGCCGTTTAGGGAGCTACGGTCTTTTTACAAAGCCCGGACGACTTTTTAGATTTTTAACGGGAAGTTTAGGATCCAAAAAGCCGTTCGGATTATGTGTCTGAGGGTCTGGGGCCTGGAATGGAGTCTCTTTAGTCTTAGGCACTGCTTGCGGAGTATGCCTACGGGTCTTCGAGCTTGCAGCCCTAGATACCAAGCTTGCAGGGTTTATACAGGGTTTGGGGATCTCTGCTCCTTTTCGGGTGGGTGTCGCACTTCGTGGCTACGGATCGTGGGCTCATGGGGTTGTTCGCGCTGAGGGCACGGCATCTGCAGTCGGCCTCTCCGGCTGGAGATCCCCCAGCCATGACCGGTCCAACCTCTTCCAGAATTCCTGCAGTGCCCGCGCTCTGCAGCAAACGGCGCCTCAGCTCGAGCAACCGTCAAGTCGTGGGAGGCCGTCGGGTTCAGTCCTTTGGCCTGAAGGTGGATGGTATACTTGGAGGTTCATGGGTAGTTATAAGTGGGGTTGTAAGTAGGGTAACTATAGTTATAACCCATGTTAGGGGACTTATAATCTCACTCATAACTTCCCATGAACCTCCAAGTAGTCAGGGTCTGTATAATGGGACTTTGGGTTCTGCGTTATGTAGTCTGTCTTTACCTGGTTTTAGTGCTTAATGGTGTCAGGGTTTATGGACCAAATCTCTATAGGCGGGACTTCAGGAAGGTAGGATCCGGCTTAGGGTTCTAGCCCAGGGGCCCAAGGGAAATACAGGGGCCTTAGTAATTAGGGTTTTCGGGGTATTTAGACTGTAATGCTAATAAGGAATTGGCGATGATTAAGGCCCTATATTAAGCAAAGAGTAGCCCTGAGCCACCCTGAGCCTCAAGCTTCAGATGATATAGGGCCTTCAATAATTAGAATAGGGCTTTGGGGCCAAATATACAATAATCATAATAAGAAACCACCACAATAACATACTTCTTTGTTTCTGTTCGACTCCAGTGCCCTCATTAGGGTGCGTCCCACCACATTAACATAGGTACTTGTCCAGGCCCCTATATTACCCCCAAGAGACGACATGAAGCCGAAGCGCCAACGAGTCCTTTCTGGCGGGTGCTTTTCGAGAAGACTTCAGTGACAGCCCTCCAGCCAGCAGGGTTTAGGGTTTTTTCCCTCTCGCATGGCAGAGAACAAAACTCACAGGCGAGGTTGAATATAGGCGATAGTCTCTCTCTCAGAAGATTTGTGCAATCCCGAAATGTTGCAGAGAACCCCAAAACATCAACCACGCACCAAGACCTCAGCATACAAAATTAACCCAGGCCCCCAGGTTCTCTGCACTTCAGGCTACATCTTGTGTTTAGGGTTTAGGGGTTTAGGGGTTTAGGGGTGTGCAAACACTAAATTATGAGCGTCTTGGGCTTGGAAAGCGGGTTTAAAGGCTTTGATTTATGGGCTGCAGGGAAAAAAGTGATACCAGCTCGGCAAGCACCCGCGAGCATCTTAATTTGACCACACAAGGTCTATGAAAAAGCGCAAGGTCCAGACCCTGGGCCAAATCTTCCAACAGCCCCAACACAACCTGGAAACACTAAACACGAAACGATAAAAGTCGTAAGCGAAAAGACTTAAAGCTTAAACTTTCCAAACCCAGCACGTTTCCGAGTTGCGAGCAGGTTTTCGGAAGCGCTTCCTCCACCCGTTCAGCAGCTGCCATCCTGGTTTGCAGCTTAGGGTTCGGGGTTTAGGGTTTGGGGCGAAGAGCTTAGTGTTTGCTGCAAGGGTTCTTAGACATGAATATGTGAATCCTACCAGGGCTGGTGGTATGCAGGTGGTCACTTTAACGAACACAAACCTCAAATTGTCTTCAAGACTGTCCCAGGTTCCGGCAAGCAGGCCGACAGCATGAAAGGCCTGCCAGTCATTGGATTCAGGACTTCCGGCTTTCAAGGTTTATCCTCAAGGCTTCAGTCGACAAAACCCTCCAAAACTGCGCAACGGTACCAAATCTACCACGCCCAACCCTGTGACACCTTATAACACTCAGATGCAGAGCCTTTGCATTCTAAGTTCAGGCCCCAGCTTCCTTAGTTTCGTTGGGGGTTCGGGGTTCGGGGTGTTAACCTCGTGGGCAGCAGCGACTTGGTGGGGCTCCAGCAAGGCTGGAATGGTGCAAGCAAGACTGGAACTTCACAGCCAACGAGCCTTGAGTGCTTGGGGTGTAGAGATCGCGGCTCAGAGCTGGTAGCTTTCAGGGTTTAGGGCCTTTCGCCTCCCACCTGGCTAGGACAAGCCCGCATTGCAGGGTTTAGGGTGTCGGGGTGAGGCCGGAATGCTGGAACCTTGAGGTGTAGGATTCCAGAGATTGCCGGGTTGTGGTGGGACCCTAAACCCTAAACCGACTTTTGATAAGCTTTTCAGGGTATCTTATGTTGGTGTAGGAACAATATGGAACGACAAAGAATCTCTTGCAATGCCAAATTGCTAACGCTACATCTTTTGATCTCTGGTTTGGAGTTTACGGGTCTGAAGGTGCATGCCGGGCAGAGACCGCCCACCATGAAATGCGTTATGGTAACGGGTCAACCCCTGCAAACTCTTGCTTGGATTAAGTTTCGCTTTGATGATTAGTATCGCACTGCGGTCGGTCGTTGCTACTTCTTGTTGGTTTTATGACATTTTTAATTCTCACTGCATTTAAGAGGTGTTCCGTATACAAGCCCTCGAAACAATCTATAGTCAGGTTTCTAGACTAAACTAAACCAATGGGGGGAATCAAACCTCAGTTTAGAGCATGCCAAGCACCATGTCTTTTGCACTGTAACGGCAAGGGTGAAGCTTTCGACTCTTGAGTTCACGGGCTTATAACCTCCACGTCCCGAACCAGCCGCCACTCGATCTTAAGGCCTTAAGTCCTATAGAGCATGTCTTAAGCCCAACCATAAACCCCTGATCCTTAAACCCTATAACCTATAACCCTAAACCCCTATACCCTGAACCCTGAAACCCTAAACCCCGCTGCCTCTTTGTGGAGGTTCCAGTGCCGGAACCTGCAACCTGCCGGCCAGCTCCCCCTGCTCGCACAAGGGACTTGGCCACTTCGGCAAAGTTAGCGCTTGATCAATAACCGATTAGGGTTTGGGATGGGTTTAAGGCTTAGGAATAGGGTTTAGGGTTTAGGAATAAGCCCAGTGTCCTGATAAAGACTATGACTATGATCGGGATCCGGAAATTGGAACCCAGGACTAATGCGAAGCAGTTCAGGGAAAGCGGCATGATACGGCATGCTTATAGGAAGCCTTCTTGAGAAGGCCCGGCAGGGGCGCAGCACAGCGCCATTTGCACCAGTGGTAACGAGCATGGTGCGAATGGTGCGTTTGCTGCGGCACGAAGCATTGGAAAAGAGAGCTGGCCAAGGGATCCGAGGGCTTAGTTTCCGGGAGTATAAGAAGCACTTTGTGGTTAAACCCTAAACCCTAAACGTAAAACCCTAATCCCCCCCTGCTTATCGTCTGCGTCTGCCATGATCTGCTGGATCCTGGCTTCCAGAGGCTTGTTTTCGACTGCCCAAGACCTAGAAGCCGAATGTCACACCTTCAGCCTAAACCCGAAACCCCTAAACCGTAAACCCCCAGCCCGACACCGTGTCAAATCGCATCAACAAGCACGGCTGGCGCTAGAGCCAAAGGGTTCAGGGATTAGGGCCAACACCCTGCACCTCAAACCTGGGCTTCTTCACCGATAAGCCCCAGGAGAGCAGAGATGGGTGCTGTGTCGGGTGAGTGGGCCGGCAGCCAACACGGCATAAGTATTACCATGTTCGGTTGATATCTCTTCGGGGCAATACTATCTTGTACCGGTTCCTACGGCAATTACTATTGCCAGTATGCCTGTGGGTACCATGTCGGGTTCATCACGGCTTGCTTTGAGCCAAGCTTCCAAGTATAGGGTCGGGCAAAGGTGAGGCGAATCGCTATCGGAGGGTACGGCATATCATCAGGACCCTTAGGGGGGGTATGGGGGCCATAATACCTGTAACAAAGGACCTAATAAGGCCTACTTAAGGAAGTATGGTCCCCTACCCGCCTCCCCCTTACCCTCACTTTTAGGGGTCCCTATGAGCATAAGATCTGAAGGTTTTGGGTTGCAGGTTCTTCAAAACTGCTTGTGCCAGATGCCTGAAACCTAGGTTTAGGGTTGAGGGCGTAGGGTAGGCCACACCCAAAACTCTGAACCTGCCACTGCGCGGCTCAAATCCTAAAGCCGGACTGAGGCCTCGGATGCTAAAGATTAGCAAGTTTGGCTGATTTTTGGGCTCTCGGAAGGCACCCTAAACCGTAAACCCTAAACCCTGGCATGGCAGCGTCCGAAGGCACTACATGGCAAGTTACTACGTCTTCAGAAGACCACAGGACATACCCCTTCGAAATTCGAACACTGATTAGGATGTCTGGTATGAGGCACGTTCCTTGACGGTTTGCATAAAGGCTGGAGTCTAGAAATCCCACAGCTGTGAACTTAAGCTTGAACCCTAAAGCCGCACATCGTGGGACAGAGCCCCATCCTCTATACGCTCGGCTGAATCAGACACCTTGCAAAGGAGACTGGATCTTTTCAGGACCCTATCCAAGCGCCTGCAGAATTGCCTATTCAAGTTCGTCAAACAACCTGTTTCAAACTTCGCGGACGATTTTTTAACTGCGCGACTCGAGCTTCTTGGAAGTCGATAGACGCAAGTCTGCCCAGGCTCCAAGGTACCCAAGAGCAACTGGGTTCTGAGTTTAGGGCTTTGGGGCTAGGATTTCGTGGTATAGGTGGTATAGGTTTGATTTGTTAAGGATAAGTTTAAGGCGTGGAGTTGTAAGGTTTAAGGTCCTGGATTAGGTGTTGAAGGTTGGGACAGCGTGAAAACCCCTTGGAGAAACCCTCAAAGGAACCCTATTCACGGTTAGAATGTACTAAAGCACCAAAACCCTTCCCTCAACCTAAAACCCAAAACAGTTCTAATGATTATTTCTTATGGCAACCCTTATTGTAATCCTTAAACGAACCCTATTCTGATGATTGGCTCAACCGTGCGGCTTGCGCGCCCTGGCCTGGGCCTGATTTCGCCGTGTGGCCACCTTGCGGACATCCCTTGGTAAATTTAGGAGCTCCAGCGTTCCTTTAAAGGGTTTAGGGGTTTAAGGCTCCTTGGTTATTATATGGGCTACGGCTACTATTAAGGGCCTCGTGTAGGGGCCTTCATGATTGGAAGGTTTAGGGGCGTCGGGATACATGTACAGGGAATGTATGGGAATATTATCACTGATTGTTTCGACGATCGAGAGAAAGGGGTTCTTAGTGCGTAGGTTTAGGGTATGTGGGTTAGGCTAGTTTCGGCCAACGAGGAGTGCCTTGCAGGCACAGAAGAAAGGGG